GAGAGAGAGAGAGAGAGGGAGAAGGGGAGAGAGGGAGAGGGAGAGGGGGAGGGAGAGGGGGAGGGAGGGAACATGAGAAATCAACCTCCAGAGGAGATGGCTATGCCACAATCCTTTCTCCTCCATTCTCCTCTCAGGATTTTGGGTATGCATGCACACATACCCAGCATGATTTTCAAGACATTGGGTCTGGGACTTGAATCCTGCTCGACCATGAGGGAGTCCAGCACTTTAACCATCACACCACCTGCTAGCCCCTGTTTATTTGTATTTTAGTAAGAGTAAGGCTGACTTGCAGGCTCAGTCCCAGGTTAAATTATCAAGTAGACAGTTGAATTCTGCAACAACCCCCCCCCCAATTGCACATATGCACTAGAGGGAGACAGAAAGAGGGAGAAGTGGAAAATCATTCCTCAAAAGGAATGGCCATGCTGCAATCCCTTTTCTTCCACTCTCTTTTAGGGATTTTGGGCACACATGCACATGTGCCTGGTGTAGTTTAAGTCGCCGGGTCCAGGACTCAAACCTTCCCCACCAAAACCCACTGTCAGGAAATAATCTGGTTATTAGTCTTTTACACTATAGCATACATCTAAGTCAAATTTCAGCAGTATCTTTTCTAGAGGTATTTTCATTTTAACGTGTTTTCTCATTGTAGAATAAAGGGCTATACTAATACTTACGGGGGTTCGGAACACTGGTGAGCAAACAAAAGAAATATTTTAGGGTTGTTGGGGGCAGTCGGGGAAGAGAGGCAGTTACAGTAGGGCTCATCATTCCTGGAAATTCTGCTGTCATGAAACGTCCCTTGGTTGTACACTGACATGCTTGAGTCTATAATGCTGTCTCTCCAGAGAGGGGAGAACACTTTTTCCACTTCCGTTCCATTCTGTTGTACTTTGGCCCATTATGTTCATTTCATTACATTCCATTTCACGCCACTGCACATTTCTTTTTTCTTTTTTTTAATTTTAAGAGAGGTTTTTGCTATAGGGTGTGTGCACTCACTGGAAAGACAGAGAGAAAGTGGGAAATCACCCCCTCCCCCCAAGGGAGACAGCCATGCTGCAATCCCTTCTCCTCCATTCTCCTCTTGGGATTTGGAGCACACATGCACACACACCCCGCCTGAGCTTTAAGCTGCCGAGTCCAGGATTGGAACCATAGTTAACTGTGTGGGAGTCCAGTGATGTAACAGTTATGCCATCTGCTGGTCCTGCCACTCCACATTTTTTTTTTTTTTTAAACTCATTCTCTGGTTTCTTATTCTTATAGCCACTGACAGAGCGAGAAGAGATACAATAATCCTACCAAGGCAGTCCCTCTCTTGATGGGGCCAAAGAGCCCATACTCCTCCCTGAAAAGTATCAATGATGCCTTTTCACAAGTTTCTTTTCCTCTTTGTACTTTATTTCCACTCCTCTCCTACTCCCATGACAACTATTTTAATAGTTCACTATGTATCTTTTTGTTTGCATGTCTCTTGAAAATGCCTTGCTCTGTCCATTTTTATTTTAAATTTATGTAGGTCCCCATATTGTGTAATTTCACTGATATACTTAATGTATATCATGTTTCCTTCTCACAAAACACAAAGTTTGAAAGCCCAATTTCTGCTGTTGCCATATGTTCATCTAATTCTGTGATTTTAACCACAGCGCATTACTCCAAGGACACATCCACACATTTAACCTAGATGTTCTCCTCCTAATAGACCCACCTCAAGTGCCTTCCAGCTTGTACTGCCTCACGCAAGACTACAGTGAGCAGCCTTGACATCACGAGTACATGTCTCTTTACGGATCTATGGGAGGATCTAGCCATCGAGGAATAAGAGTGGTTTAGGAAAAGGGATTGTCATGTCTTTGTGGAATATATGAACCTGGAAAGCATAGAAAAGGAAGAAAAGGAGAAAAGAGTCCCCACCATCTGGAGGCAATGACTGACAACCATTTTGGCACATTTCTTCAAGGCAGTGACAGACGCTCAGCCCGCCAGGCCTCCTCGGCTCACGCTATGCTACTGGTGACTTGCGGAGTTCAGCGTGAGTTTGCAGAGGACAGACAGAGAGGTCAGGAGAGATGCTCAGATGCTGGGTCTGTCGGGAGCCCGGTCCCACGTCCCACCGTGTACTGCAGGGTCCTCCAGGTGACCTTACCATAGATGGCCTGGATGCCATTGATGTCATCTTGAGGGAGCGTGTAGGTGGTGGGATCTCTGAAGGCATAGTTGGGGTACATCAAGGCACCAGGGTCCGAGGAGTGAGATAGCCCCAAGGAGTGTCCGAATTCATGAGCAGCGACGAGAAACAAGTTGTAATCTGAAATGCGAGCATGCGTGGTGAGCGGTTCCCCGAGGTTGTAGAAGAGCTCGAGGAACACAGCCTTCAGTCCGAAGCTGCCTGGGGAAACAGCCCTTCCCATGCCACCTGTTTGCTGTTATTTTTAAAAAGTGCTCTTGGCATAGTGTCACTCCATGGACTTGCAGAACACCACACGGTCTGGACAGTCCCTTTCTCAGTTCTGTCATTCCTTTAGGCAGCTCAGCTCGTCTTATTATGATCCTTTTCCTGAAAGGAATGATTTGTTGCTTGGGCGCACACCTTTGAAAAGGAACTCCATGAAAAGATGAAGTAATTAGATGAAAAAACATGGCTGCTTTTCCCCACTTTTTTTGAGGACTATTTCTAAATACAAATTTCACAACTCTGAAAGTAAGACCCTTTCAAACATCAGTAAATTTCAGAAAACTTAAACCCTAAAGCAGTGTCAGGGATATTTCCTGTAAAGGACCAAAAAATTAAGTAGTTTAGCCTTCCTGGGCCAAATGGTTTCCATTGCAACGACTTAGTTTTGCCATCATAGAGTGAAAGCAGCTGTGAATGACATGGAAACAAACACACACGGCCCTGTTCCAGTAATACTTGGCTTACACAGCGATCAGACAGGGTTTGGCCATGGTTTTTAGTTTTCTGATTCCTGCTCTAGGATATAAGGTCACTAATTAGCTTCAGGATTAAAATTTTTTTTTTTTAAATTTAAAATTTTTTTTTTAAATTTTAAATTTCTGCCACAGGGCATGTACACTTGCAGGAGAGGGGGATGGAGAGAGGGGAAAAGAGAGTGAGAGTGAATCAGAGAGGGAAAGTGAGTAATCATCCCCTAGGGAGATGGCCACAACATAATCCCTGTCCTCCATGCTCTTCCTGGGATTTTGGACACACATACATGTAGGCCTGGCATGAGTTTCAAGCCACGAGGTCTGAGACCTGAACCACAGCTATGTGGGAGTCCAGTGCCTTTAATGATCATGCCACTTGCCCAGGTTCAGGATTTTTTTTTACAAAACCTATAGTGAATTAGTATCTTAAGGTAGTAAAACATTCAAATGTTCCATCAGCTTGTGTGAATTTGAAATGTTCCAGTACCCTGTCTCTGTGTCCACATTCTAATGTGGAAAAGATGAATTCGAAAGCTGCATATAAACAGAGCCTTGGTTAACTTACTTATAGAGCTTGTGGTCCATGTTTCTTCTGCATCAAAATGAACATCTCCTCCAATGCCCTGGCCTGGCTGAAAGGCATGAGCAAGCACCCCGTTAGGCCCATCAAATGGAGAATTGTCACCATGATCTGAAATGACATGGCTTGTATTAGGTCCTGGCTGAGTCTCAGGTTAGCCAGAGTCAGCAAAACTGAGCCTAGTGGCTTTGAACTTACCTCTGTGGACAAAAGCGATCTTGATGTCTGCTTCTCCTTGCGAGAGCCTCAGGAAGGTCAGGGGTGAGGCCGCACTCCAGACTTGGAAGGCTTTCTCAATAGCTGAGTGCACATCAGCCTCGGACAGCTGTGGGGTATAGTTTATAATCCTTGAAAATGAGAAGGAGCGTGAAGGGTTTGTTATTGTTTGGAACAGCAGTCCATCAATGGATTGAGTTGCTCTGTTTCCGAGTGATCTATGAGCTGGGCTAACTCTGGAGAGGATGTGAGGGGAGAATGATGTCTCGGGGTTGAAGACAGATGTGGGCTCAGGACAAGTTACTCCATGTCTTTAAAGCTCAGTTTCCTTCTTCATAAAATGAGTATAATAAGATTATATTTCTTTCATGGAGCTGTTATGGGGATTAAATACATAGAAAGTATTTACTTCACTACTTAGTAAAGAGTAGTATTCCATGAAGATGAGGTAATATCATTGTTACTATTAAGATGTATGAAAGGTGGGATTAGGCTCTCTCCGGCAATGATTAACCATGTTTTGGGTCCTACAGTGAGTGACTGGAGGACAGCTTACCATTGCCATAGTTCTCTTTAAATGATTAGGGAAGATAGACAAAATTGGCAGGTTTTAAAGCAAAAAGAACTCATAGGATTTCTACTCTTTGATGTACATTCAAACTTGACTTCTTCATTAATCGTACTCACTCATACTCCACAAGGGCACACACATTTACTTATTTGTCCCTGAGGTATCCCAAGTCCTAGGACAGTGTCCAACATACCATCAGAGCTCAGTGAATACTGGCTGAGTGAGTTCGGAAACTCTACAAGTATTACCTGTAGGTCAGATTAGTGTGTTTCCACTTGGGGTTTCCTGGGGTTAACATAAAGTCACCATTGTCTGGCACTCCACAGCGAGGCTTCTCCATCATCTCCAGGGTTTCCGCATCTGGCTTCCCCGTCTCATTCAACCCAAAAAATCGCTGCATTTCTTTAAGCTTCTCAACAATCAAACTAGCGCTGTTCTTCCTCGTGGACCGATGTAGGGTGCTTGGTAATTGGTAGAAATGTTCTAGGTATTTCTGGACAAAGACAAACACATAGGGCCCTGGCTGTGTAAATGCCTTCAGGTTTCTGGGCATTCTGTGATCCTTCCTAAATTCCTGCAGAGGTCGAGCCAGAACAGCCACAGGAACAGTAACACGAATTGGTCGGTTGACTTTGAGAAACAATGTGTATTAAAATGAATAGTCTCTCCATCCAGTGCTCCAGTAAATGCTTATGTATAAAAATAGTTGTCTGGTAAGAGATGAGGACCAAGTCATATGTGCAAAATATAGTCAAGATTCTGCTTCTCCTTTTTTAAACATGGGGGGAGGGAGGCAAAGATGAACACTCTTGATGAGTCTTGCAATGCTATGATCCCCACCCTGCCCAGCCCTCCAGTTCATCAGGGTCTTAGGCACCAGTGTTCATCCCTGGTGTGTTCCAGGTTGCCTGGGCCAGAGACCCACACCCTTGGCCAGCCAAGTGGGTGCTAACACTGCAGTTCAAAATGTCACCAACTGTGCCTCTGAACCTGGGCCCTGGCTTTCTTACTTTTACCAAAAAAAATTAGAACTCACATTTATTGATTTCTCGTGAGGTATTAGTTTTGCTGATACAGAATTTCTTTTTTAATCCTCTTTTCACTACCATGGAGAAGGTTTAATCATCTTCATAAAGAATGGGAGGCACAGAGAAGTAAGGAACTTGTCAAGTGTTGACCCAGGTCCCAACTCACCATGACCCCTCTCAGACGAGAATGGGAATTTCAAAAGAACCACTCTAATGATGTTCTGAGGTGACAGTGGCAACACTGATGTTAGCATTTTGTTCACCAAGGTAGCTTTGGCAAGGGCCGCTACTCCATTGGAATTTGAAGGGAAAGCTCTGAGGAGAGTTAACTAGTCAACTGTAAGACTTCTTTTTTTTTTTTTAATTGCCAGAGGGGGTCATGCACGTGACAGGAAGCCCCCCCCCCCCAACTGTGGTCACACTGCAATCCTTTTTTCCTCCATTTCTCCTTCTTGTGAGGATTTTGGACAATTGTGCATATACACCTGGCATATTTTCAAGTGGTCAGATCATGATTGGCCATGTGGGATCTGGCTCCCTTAACTACTGTGCTACAAAGCTGGCCGAAGACTTCTTTCTCACCTTTTGCAGCCTGCAAACACTGGCACTTGGTCGGTGTCATAGGACAGAGCATTTGCTTGGGGACCTGAGTTCAAATCTCAGCTCTGCCATGGATTGTGAGTACTTGGACACATTACTTACCTGATGTAAGGGTCACTTTTATCTCTGAAATGGAAATAATAATTCCCTCCCCATAGGCTGGTTGTGAGGATTAAATGAGATACACTTTGTGAAATGCTTGCTAGGGTCCCTTGTACAGAGAGTTGGCACTCAATGGACATTAACTATTAACCCAGAGTCACTATGAACATTGCAAGAGATACCAAAGGGAAAAAAAGGAAATGAAAAATCAACATGAATAATACTTTTCTAAAGTGGTAACACAAAGGAAATTGTGCATGAAAATTTGTGATTTGTATTTCTTAAAAATCTGGTCGGATATTATATTATGAAACAGTGGAGAAAAAAGCTGTTGGTTCTGTTTTTATAATGCTTCCAATAGTTTATAACAGCCTACAATCTGGTGCTGAGAAATCTGATTGTACTATGAACTAATTTCTAGTTTCTTATAATCTCTTGTCCTCACAGGCTCTTCTACAACCAGATTTGGGGCCACAGGGAAATGTCCATGCAGGACGTATGAGACATGCAGATAGACTGGAGGGGAAAAATCATAAGTGAGAAAATCATTACTTTTTTCTTTTTTTTATAAGACAGGATTTTGCTATAGGGTACATGTGCTTGTCAGAGAGACAGTGAGAGAGACAGAAGGTGAGAGAGAGAGACAGAAAGCGAGAAATCACCCCCCAGGAGGGAAATCACCCCCCAGGAGGGATGGCCATGCCGCAGTCCCTTCCCATCCATCTTCCTCTTGGGATTTTGGGCATGCATGCACACGTGCCTCATGTGAATTTGAAGCCTCCGGGTCTAGGACTTAACCATGGTCTACTACATGGATATCCAGAGACATAACCATTACGCCATCTGCTGGTTCCCAAAATCATTTTGTTTTTATAAGAAACACCATTCCACTGGAGGCAATCCTGCAGCAGTATTTCCCCAGGCCTTGCAATTCCTTCTTGTTTTTATGTCCCACAGGTGACCCAGTACTTGCCTCCAAATCACTGAAAGGCTATTTTCTTTCTTTCTTTTTTTTTTTTTTTAAGAATTATTTATCTAATTTTATTCATTCATTCATTCATTTTAATTTGACCAGAGAGAGACACACAGAGAGAGAGAGAGAGTGAGAAAGTGAGAAAACAAGCCACCAGGCCTGGGACTCAAACCATGGTCAGCCATGTGGGAGTGTCCAGAGCCTTAACCACCATGCCACCTTCTGGTTCCCTGAAAGGCTATTTTCAAGCAACTTACACAAATCTTTTCTTTCAGGTTGTTTTGACTAAAAAGAGAAAACAACCCACACAAGTTTCTAATACTCAACAAATCAACCACCCACCAGATAGTTAATTTACCTGAACAACTTTCATGTGCTTCTCCTCGAGGTCTTTGGAAGATGCAGGAAAGGCCTGGGAAAGCTGCAGGTGGAGCAGGAGCAGAAATGGAAAAGTCTTGAGGGAGAGCATCTTTCCTCCCACCACGACCTCTCCTGGCCTTTTCTGCCACCCCGGGTAGCCCTTTCCTGATGGGGACAGAGGGTCACAGCATTGTGTGCCATGCGTGGCTCTCCTTCGGTCCCTTATAAAGCCATGTCTTAAACAATTGCTGCATCAGGAGTATGAAGCAACAGAGCTTAAAAACACTGACAATTTTGCAATTTTATATTGTCATTTAGTACCCAAAATATGGGAATCTTTCAACAGAAAAAAAAGCACAATTTGTTACTCTTTACTTTTGGGGTTTAAGTTAGTTATTTATTTTTGCAAAATTGTCTGATCAAGGAAAAAGAACAGGAGATTAATTCTGAAGTTATAGGCTTACATTTCCTGGCTATATGAGATGCTGAAGTGGTATTAACTAATGCTGGGGAATATTATTGCTTTAATGCAGATACCTTTGGACCAAGGAGCCCCACTAGAGAATCTCTGTATTTCTCCATCCTCACCCTGTGTGAGGAGGTCATGTGTCTGAGCATTATGGTGGATTGTTAGAAAATGCCCAACCTTGGGACCAGCAGGTGGCATGTTGGTTAAGGTACTGGACTCCCACATGGCCAACCACAGTTTGAGTCTCAGACCTGGTGGTTTGAAAATCATGCCAGGAACATGTGTGTGCATGCACAAAATCCCAAAAGGAGAATGGAGGAGAAGAAACTGCAGCATGGCCATTTCACCTGGGGGGAATGATTTCTCACTTTCTCTATTGCTTTCTCTGTCCCTCTCTGGTGAGCACATGTGCCCTATGGACCAATGAATGAATGAATGAATGAATGGAGAAAGAAAAAGGAAATATACAATCTGTCATCTGGATTTTCCATAGAAAGGATGATGATAATAATAAACATTCTTACACACAGAAGCTGAATAGTTACAATATGCTGGACATTCATACTGAACAGATATTACCTCTGACCATCTTTATGTAGCAGGGAAGGGAGATGCTATTTCCATTTTGTGGGTAAAATGCAATCCAGAGAAATTAAGATGAATTGTGCAAATCACACACTTAGTGTGTGGAGGAGCCAGGAGTCACCCCCAGGTGGTATTAGAGGGACTGAGCTGGCCATTGGACTCTGGTGTACTGTCTCCCACTTGCCTTGGGCTGGCCCATGGGATCTGAGCTCTAGACCTCAACAACCACAGCAGTTTGGCTTATATCCATAGAGGGGAAGATAAGGGAGAGAAATGAAATGGCTTATATATTCCTAGGAGGATAAGAGGCTGAGAGAGGACTTCCTGCCAATGCGGCTACAGAGGCGACTCCTGGGAACTCTCTTCAAATCATGTGACCTGATCTCACTTATTTGCCTCCATATGCATGTAGATGACCACACACAGACTTTGTGCATATTAATGTGTGTGCGTATGTATGTACGTTCTACAAGGACAGGAAGTCTGGTGTAAAAAGTACACCTATCTTGGGACCAGCAGTTAGCGTAATGGCTATGTCGCTGGACTCCCATGTAGTCGACCACAGTTCCAGTCCCAGACCCTCCTGCCGGGCGCGTGTGTGTGCGTGCCCAGGATCCCGAGAGGAGAATGGAGGAGAGGGGATTGCGGTGTGGCCATCTCCCCTGGGGGGTGATTTCTTGCTTTCTATCTCTCTGTCTCTGTCTGGTGAGTGCATACACCCATAGCAAAAACCTCTCAAGGAAAACAAAAAAAGTAAAAAGTGCACCTATGTGCACATGTGATATATAATGTATATTAATGTGACACCCCTCTAGATGTCTCTCAGGAACTTTGTAAATAACCCGGAAAAAAGTGTGTTTTGGTTAGACAAACCTGGACAGCAGATTAACGTTCGTGAGGTAGATGACAGCATTCCTTCGGTAAGCATTCCCAGCCACCTACCACATACGCACTGCTGTGGTGAGTACTCGATTATGGAGATGAGCAAATAGAGGTTCAGATGAAGTGCTGAGGGAGTCTGGAGGAAAGAGCAACAGTGGATAAAGGAGAACCAAGGAAAGCTTCAAGAGAGAGGTGGCCTTTGAAGTGGACAATGAAACAGAGGTAGAATGTAGACATGCAGAGATGTGGCAAGCGCTTGCATGTGGTAGCTTTTCCCTGCTAAGTGAAGTTGTTCTAAGATCATGGCCATGTTAACGCCCTCTCGGTGTACAAGTGAGCATTCCACATCAGGCCTTTAGCAAAAATATCCCCGTTACGGAATGAAAAGTGCCTAAATACTGGTCGGTTTTTATGTTGAGTTACTTGATACATTGACTTGTTCAGAAGGTTTATGAGCACATAATTGACAAATGAGTTAGAGGAGAATCCAAAATGCCAGTAAAGTCAGTACTTTGGTGTTTGTGTAAGTATTGTTAAAAAGTGGAGTGATTGGGTCTGAATCGCTGACAACCAGTCCAGCCTGGAGCAGCGGTGGAGAAGGCTAGAGTTGTTTTCGGAGCCTCTGGCTTGTACTTTCTGACTCTCTTCCCCTCACCTGGCTACTGCCTGTCTCCATGGTGTCTGTGCCTTACCTGTTGTGGTGCTCGGACCCAGAGTTCTCTCAGGCCCTTGACCAAAAGATCAATTATCAGTCACTTATTACCTCAGTGCGACTTTGTCGACTATCTGCCTTTTAAGCAGATTTCTTACTAGAAAAAAACCAAGCAAACAAAATTTTAAACTTGAAGGCCTTGTTTCCTATAACACGAATTTCAGGGCAAATTAAGTAGAAGAAATTTAGTTTTGAGCAGAGAAAATGCAAGGATCTTTGTCTCCCTACTCGTAACAGGGTACCACCCCTCACCTTTCCTGTAGGCATTCTCTTTTCTCAACACCTGCAATGCTGGTCCGCAGCAGGCAGAACAAACCATGTTTTTGTAGCTCAGTTGCTTTTTTAGGCCCAAAGACATGAAACCGATGGCATAGATATAGCCTATTTTCACCTTACTTATAAAAAATAGGTCCAACCAGCTGGGGTGGGCATGTGTACCTGAACCTCGCAGGATGAGGGGTTTGCCAGTGGGGACGGACAGTTAGTGGAGGGCGTGGCAGGCACTCAGTACAGAAGCCAGTGCGGTATATGCTCATCTGGGTCCCGTACCAAGGCAAAATGTCTGCATCCTGCCTCTTTTTATTTTATATTTTTGGAGAGGTTTTTGCTGTAGGGCACATGAGCTCACTAGAAAGAAAGAGATACAGAGATATAGAAAGCGAGAAATCACCCCCCAGGGGGGATGGTCACACCTCAATCCCTTCTCCTTCATTCTCCTCTTGGGATCTTGGGCATGCACACACACACACCTGGAGTGAGTTTAAGCCACCGGGTCCGGGACTCGAACCACAGTTGACTACATGGTAGTTCAGTGACATAGCCATTACGCTAACTGCCGGTCCCTGCACTCTACCTCTTTGAATTCTAGCGATCAGGGTACCTGTGGATGTCTACGTGGCAAGTTCACAGGATAATTGTTGGGGCCAGCTGTGGTGGAGGATAAGGGACCTGTGGAGTTTAAAGTAAACTATATAATTGGGTTCAAACTGTAGCCCTGATACTGCTGACTTAGGCAACTTTTGGCAAAGCTTCTAAGTTCTTCTGAGGCCCAGCTGCCACATCTGTCCAACTGGTGCATTCGACCTCTCTCTTGTCTAATCTCAGATGGATTAGATGAGGTGTGCAAACCCTGCTCTTCTTCATGTTATGAATGTGATAAAGTTACTGCCACATTAGTGCAGGTGTCCATTCTGTGAATGAGTCAGCAACGGTGAAGAGTTCCTCTTTTCCAGGAAGAGAAGTGCTTCAAAGTTAAGTCACCAAATGGTGAAGTAACTTCCACAGGAGCCACTTCCTTTAGTAACCACTGTTCAGGTTAGCCAGGGGACCTGTGTGTGACTGATACCCTTCACACACGGTATACATACTTACTTAAAAAAATTATTATTATTTAAAAAAAATGCTACAGCGCACATGTGCTCAGCAGAGAGAGAGACAGAGAAACAGAGAGAGAGAAAGTGAAAATGCAAGTTGTCAGATCCGAGACTTGAACTGTGGTTGGCCATATGGGAGTCCAGTGCCTTAACCACTGTGCCACCTTCTGGTCCTTAAATGCTCATGTTTAAAGCTCACAAACCATCATGGGTTAGACTCTGCTGAGCTGGTGATGTCTACCATCCGCTGAGGGGAACATGTGCAGTAAGTGTCTGTAGGATTCTGTGTTACAAGTGCATTATTCATTATCTCCCTAACATAACAACCCAAAGAAGTAAGATTATCCCCATTTTAAGGTTGAGAAAACTGAGGCTCAGAGGTATGATTCAAACTTATCTTTCCATTTACCCTTCTTGTAATCCCCTGTATTTTGTCAGTGAGGGAAAATTCAAAATAAGGTGCTTTTCAGCCTTGGCTCCACAGCAGGATCGGAATTAAAAATACAAATATGTGGACTCTCTCATGCCCTGTATGCTATGTCCCCCTCCAGAGTCCCATGTTGGAATCCAAACCCCCAGTGTGATGGTGTTAGGCAGTGGGGTTCGGGGAGGTAACTAGATCATGAGTGTGGAGTTCTCATGAATGGGATGTGTGCCCTTATAAAAGAGACGCCCGGGAGCTGCCTCACCCCCTTTCCCCCTTGCTACCCTGTGAGGACGCAGTGAGAAGTCAGCGGTCTGCAACCAGGAGAGAGCCCTCTCCAGACGTGAGCACGCTGGCACCCTGATCTCAGACTCCCAGCCTGCAGAACTGTGAGAAATAAATGAACTTCTGGGAAAACCAAATCAGCTTCCACATAAGCCTGAACTCGGTGGCATTTCGTTCTAGTAGCCTGAACTGGCGGGGACAGCTCCACTCCAGCCACCGAGTCAGACTCTGTTCGGGTGGGACCCAAACACACACAGTTATAGAGAGCATTCCAGGTGACACTGAGAATGAGTTGGGAAACTTTACAAGGGGATAGAGAATAAATAAGAGAAAAATAAACAAAACGCAAACTTTCCATGTTGCTCTGTGTTTCTGGAGGCGGGGCACTGCTGACTGGATGTGCCGAGACTTTCTTCCCTCCCCAATCAGTCCAACTCGACAGCTAGGTGTCTCTTCTAAATCTTCCCCAGGCTTGATTTTCTAACC